TATTGCAGATATTCAGAAGCTGTCTGGACATGGTCCCAGGCAACTCGCTCTAAGTGGACCTGCTTGAGCAGGGGATTTGGACCAGATGACCTCCAGAGATCCCCTCCCACACCGACCCCTCCATGATTTTGTGAACAATGCACAGAGAGAGGTTAGATTGGAAATGGCCAAACAGACAGCAGCAGCTGGGATGATCTTACAGCAGCTAAAGAAATGGATGTGTGCCCTGTGCAGAATTAACATGAAAGGGGAAAGACTCTAAATCACTAATGCCCAAGAACTCATCCAGCCTCATGTAGGCTAAATCCCTCAAATTTGGGGCAGGCAGAAACAGCCTCATTTGAACTCTTTTCTCACATCTGAAATTTGTTAAGGAATGTTACGTGGACACCAAATGAAGCAACATCTTTGGAGAGGAAAGAGGATAAAGGCAAGGCTTGCAGTAGTGGGGGACACTGTTATGGTTATAACTGCTTCAGGCACATACACACCATACGGTTAAGAACAATCATTTGAAGGCAAAAGCATCAGTGAAATAATGTCTGTCCTTGGTATCATCACTTGTCTTTCTGACCAATGATCATGCATAATTGTCTAGGCAGTAAACTTTTACGTCGTTTGTATAATGAGATCTAATCTTCACTTCAAACTCTAGTTCTACCATTTTCATGTCTAGTAAAATTAATGTTTATTTATGAATCTCACATGCTGGCTGGAGCACCTCCCATATGAAGACAGGCTGAGAAAGTTGGAGCTGTTCAGCCTGGAGAAGAGAAGCTGCGTGGAGACCTCATAGCAGCCTTCCAATATCTGAAGGGGGCCTACAAGGATGCTGGAGAGGGGCTCTTCATAAGGGAGTGTAGTGATAGGACAAGGGGTAATGGGTTTAAACAGGGGCAGTTCAGGTTAGAAATAAGAAAGAAATTCTTTACTGTGAGAGTGGTGAGGCCCTGGCACAGGTTGCCCAGAGAAGCTGTGGCTGGCACACCCCTGGAACTGTTCAAGGCCAGGTTGGATGGGGCTTTGAGCAACCTGGTGTAGTGGAAGGTGTCCCTGCTCGTGGCAGGGGAATGGAAATGGATGATCTTTAAAATTCCTTCTAACCCAAACCATTCTATGATTCTATGTTCACTGATCACTGAGTTCTTGGAAGTTAATACCAACTCATGTCTCTATCCCAGAGTACCTGAGGACACCAGGCATGATGCTAGATACCACCAGGTCAGAAGATGCTTCTGGAATTTTCTGCCTAGTTTTACATGAAGCTTTTACACAGAATTACCTTGTACAACACACATCTCTGAATAAAGGAGCCAACTAGAAGGAGTTCGATTTTTGTTCTGTCAGGAGTAATAAGGGTAATTAGTTGTGGATATGATTCCAGAAAAATCTAGAAACAGTATTAAGCTGTTAGAAGACCACACAACTCCTTTAAAAGAAGGTCTTTTGCTATTCACTTAGATGCATTAGCTTAAGTCTGTTCTTAAACAAGACATGACCAAGATTGACAAGTGCTAAAAATTCACTGTTTCCCTTTTATTATCTGCTGTTATAAATAAAGAAAACATACACACACACACAATATAATATGTTGGAGGTCAGATATCCCTCAGGCAAGAAACGCCTTCCACAACTACTTGGGTAATGGTAAAATGTTGGATTCAGGCTATGATGTTTCAACAGCAAATAGAATCCTTAACCCTTGATGCCAGTACTGTTTCCAACATCTAAATGGTCTGGTGGTTTTTTAAAATAGGGTAATAATGTCAAGTATTTGGAACCTGTACCTTAAGCAGGAATCTGTCATGTGTCAAATACTCTCCTAGGAGAAATTTCTACCTAATAAACATGCTGATATATAGATGTTAATAAAAGCATTTGTATTTTTTGTGTTCAGCAAATGTGATGAACACACCACTAGTGTGTGCAGGAAGAGTGAGCTTCAAATACTCTGCCATAGATTAGAAGAAGCATTTTTGGAATCTTTTTCCTTAAACTCTAATGTTCTAATATTAATGCTCTGTTGTCTAGTCTAAACATTAACATTTCTGCTGCACAGCCATTTCCTATGATGACTACCAAGACAGGAAATCGAACATGCTGAGACACTTAGGTTCTGGTCAAGGGTGTAGCAGAGATTTTCTGTGCACAGCAAACTTGGACAAAACACTGAACAAGATACATTATTTAACCTCCTTTTACCTAATTTTACTTCTATGGGACTATTCCCCCTACATAAGGGCATGTGCTAAGTTCATGTTTGTACAATGCCTCCACCTTTTGATGGGAGTTTTTTCAGAGTTGCTAAACATTGTCACTAATATTGAGTAATAAACAAGTTATTTGTGCCAACAGTCCAAGCCCTACCTGGGCACTATTTTGTACTGTGGTGGGAGGAAATAGCTTAACTTTCTTTTCTTTTCTTTCAAATTCCAGTACTTCTCTGAATTTCAGAAAGTATTCCAAGTGCTTTTGATCTAATGTCATTAGATCACCTTAGAGCAAAACAATTCAAGTATGGGAAAAAAGACTGTGCTTACAGAACAGTTTCTGAATTGCAAGCGACCATACAATTTTTAACACACCCAGTCAGCAAAACTTTCCACTCCAGTTGTAATATAATAAACCAGGACACTGCATCTGCTTTGGAGCCTTCCCTAATGGTCTCAGATGCTCCAAAATCCTGCAAAAAAATTTAAAGCTTTCCTGTATAAGGTCAGCATAGAGCTCCATCTTCCCTCACAGCCCTAACAAATGTTAATTTTCAGTACCTTTGCTGATCTCAGATGTGCCTCAGCATCAGTAGCTGAGGGGTGGACTGCAAGCAGGCAGGCACCAAAATATTCAGAAGCTAACACCCCGCGTAAGAGCAGGAATTGTGTTCATAACAGCATGGTATTCTCAGTGAGTTCAATCCCGAATCTTTTCTTAATCAATTCCAGCTTCCAGACAATCTAAAATTTGGTCTACTTAAACTACAACAACCAAACCCAACAGTAATACATTATTTCAGCTCAACAAAGACATGAAATAAAGCAGAGACAAGTATTTCCTTGGATGCAGACCTGTAACAAAACCTCTCTCAAACAATAAGCAATGAGGGCACAACCTCCATCAAGCAACTTGATAAAATCTCCTCTATGGATGTATGTTCTCTGCCTGGTAGTACCAGAATGCTTTACTTTGGTCACTTTGCTTTGACCCAAGGGCCAGACTCCACCAGAAATCAAATAATGTGCAATATTTTTCATACAGAAACTCCAGCAAACAGGATCGAACCCTAACTCAGAGCATTATAAAAATCCTGTGCTTTGACTTCATATTTCCCTGGTTGTGGTTTTGCATACTAGGAGTAACTCATGAACTGTGCTTGTGGCATCACTATATTGTTTGGTTTTGCTGTGTGCAGATGCAGATTCCATTTCTGGTCTCAAACTCTTTACCCTGAGTAGTAAACCACCAGTTTTAATGTCTAGATCAGAGCCTGATCTAGAGTTGTCGTGGTTTAAGCCCAGCCAGCAACTTGGAACCACGCAGCCGCTCGCTCACTCCCCCCCCTTTTCCTTCCTCCCCCCGCTCCCGGAGGGATGGGGAGAAGAATCGAAGGAATGTAACTCCCACGAGTTGAGATAACAGCTCTCCAGTAACTAAGGTATAATACAAACCACTACTGCTACCAGTAATAATGATAAGAGGAATAACAAGGGAAAAGGACACAACCGCTCACCACCCGCCGACCGATACCCAGCCCGACCCGAGCAGCGATCTGGGCCTTCCGGGTAACTCCCCCCAGTTTATATACTGGGCATGACGTGCTGTGGTATGGAATACCCCTTTGGCCAGTTTGGGTCAGGTGTCCTGCCTCTGCTTCCTCCTGGCTTCCCCTCCTCTCTGGCAGAGCATGAGACTGAGAAAGTCCTTGGTCAGAGTAAACATTACTTAGCAACAACTAAAAACATTGGTGTTATCAGCATTGTTCCCAGACTGAAAGTCAAAAACACAGCACTGCACCAGCTACTAAGAAGGAGAAAAAATGACTGCTGTAGCTGAACCCAGGACAAGAGTGAACAAGGACATGACAGCAATTTGGCTGAGTGATTAAGCCATGAAGTGATAGGTATGGCAAGTATTTTCATACAATTCTTAAAGTACAGCAGCACCAATACAAAGCAAAACAGCTGATAAAGTGCATAAATTCATAAAACTGGAAGGGAAGCCTTCTGTCATCACCCTCCTACCTGAGCAGTCAGCATATATTTTTTAAAAGTGCCCATTAAGATATATTATTAAATATTCATTTTGTGTAAAAAAGCACAAGTGGTGCTAACTGCTGAAACCCTGGAACTGAAATTCACAGAGACAAGTTAGCTGCTGCAATCCTAAAATAACTTCTGTTGAAGAGGGTGATGTGAGGCACAGGTAACTCATCTTCCCTTGACAAACATAGATGTATGTGCATATATAAGTATGCTTAGTCTAGACATTGATAATGAACAGTTACTCTGATTTAAAGTAGACTGTCTTTTTCAAAAATTACTTTGACATACCTATGGAATTGGATATATATAAATCCCAGTACAAATAAACAGTATCCAGTGCTAAGCTCTTAAAACTCAGATTTATGACAGAAACGTGGGGACAGACTCTTCAACAAGGACAAGGCTTAGAAGCATTACAATAGATCAAGACAAAATACTGTTCAACATGATTTTCTTCCTTCTTGATGGCATATCCAGCTGTCTTGTAACATTTGTTACTAAAAGACTCTTTTCTTTGAAACTGCAGTTGCTGTTACTGTTGTCATTAAATCCTTAAAGAAAAAGTACAAGCTCCTACTGCTGCTCTCTCCCTATGAACCATCAAGTGAATAGAGATGAGCCAACACCTTATTAAGTATAAGCAAAGCTTTTAAGATGACCTGCAGAAATAAATAGAATGTGTATAACACACATAAAGGTACTAATAACAACAAAGACGAAATTTTGGTATGAAAAACCTACCTTAGGAGAGGAAGAAAGGTCCCTCGATGCAGGAATAGCTGACATGTTCTCACTCATGCCTGTCTCTGTCTTTGGCAAGAGGTTTGGTGGTTCAGGAGCCTTTCTTTTAATCTTCTTTTCTGGTTCTTGCAGTGGAGCAACTTTAATGAAAGCAGGGCTTGATTTTGGTTCATAAAATGGATTTGATCTAATTAAAAGAAGGGAAACACATTTCTTTGCTATCTCCTTGGAATTAAAACAAAAAATAAGACCTGATTAGAGAAGACAATGAATAAAATGCTTTTATTATCCCACAAAAGAATATGTTTTGCCTTTACATGATTTTAAACATTACTTTCTCATATGACTGAATAGTGAATTACAACAGCTAAAATTGCATTAGGTCAGAAGTTCCATAAATTTTATAAAGTCCTGTAAATTACAGGAAGTTTATCAATTGTGTAAAGCTAGCTCTTCCGTTATACTTACCTATCCATCAAAGAGTGATCTGATTTACAGAAAAGATCTATACCAACAAATCTGAGAGACATTGCTGTCTGTTTAGTATTCTAATGAACAGAATTAAGATCGCTCCATTAGAACAGACTTAAGAATCAGGACACTTTTACACGCATGCTTCAGCATGGCTTTAAAGGCCTCACTCTTGGCTGCTCAAGTCTGAAAATTGTGGCTTCCATAGGTACACACTCCACATTGAATGTATTTTAAACCCTGCAGCATACAGGCACCATGCCATTTCAAGAACACTCTTTGGATAAGAGCAGTGTAAGAAAACCACAGCTGACTTGTATATAGCTTTCTAAGATACCAGTAGCCATCACCTATTTTAAAAGTGCTATTTATAACTAAACCCTGTTTAACAAACACAGTAAAGATCTTCCACCAAGTAGATGGAGTCCAAAGAATCATTTTTCTTGACAGTGGTGTTCACGTTCCAACTCTGCATTTGTTCCACCCTGAGTAAATACTCCCACAGCATTTCCAAATTTGATCTATTAGTTTGATACATCAAATATCAAGGAAAACCACACCAAATAATAATGGCTTCTACTCTGCACACAGAAGAGCTAGCAACATTGCATCCTGTTGAGGATACTTACAGGAACCTCCTTTGCACTGAATTATTTTATTCATAATCTTTGCTTTTCCTATTTTGCAATCCAAAACTGGACGGTTAATTATGAAACCGATACATTAATTAATTCCTTTCTAGTCGATACTTCCCCTGCACATTATATTTATCATATATCTCAACTATGTTTATGTAACTGAGTCACTGCAATTCCCAAAGATCTATCTGCATACAGTTATATAAAGCGTCATTAATCACAACAAAGAACCTCAGTCCCTTAAATTCAACTCTAGATGGAAACAGTAACTCATACATCATTAGACAAGAGCCTACCTAGCTAGATCCATTTACAAATTTCCTCTCAAGATAAGAGTCATGAGCTACCGCACGCTGTTTTTAAAGAACCAGTAAAATTTGGCACAAGTGAAAACCCAACTATTCTTAGAATCATAGAATGGTTTGGGCTGGAAGGGGCCTTAAAGCTCACCCAGTTCCACTCCCCTGCCACAGACAAGGACACCTTCCACTAGACCAAGTTGCTGAAAGTCCTGTCCAACCTGGCCTTGAACACTGCCAGGGATGGGGCAGTCACAGCTTCTCTGGGCACCCTGTGCCAGTGTCTCACCTCCCTCACAGGGAAGAACTTCTTCCTTCTATCTAATCTAAATCTACCTTCTTTCAGAGGGTATTTATCCTGTTTCCTTGCACATAACACCAAATTTCTCTCAGTTTTGTGTACTTTCACCATGAAAATACATCTTTTGGTCTCAATTTTAGAGTTTATTTTCACATGGTTCACCATTATCCTCTTTTCACTAAGAAAAAGCAAGCCAGTAATAATCCACACTGCAGAAAATAAGTCTACTTCTGAAAGGCAAAGTTTACTGAAGCATATAAGTGAAGACTGGGCACAAAACCTCCACACCTTTCTGAGAATCTGCCACTGCTTGTTATAGAGAAAGAGATCTAAATCCAGATATTGAAGGGAAAGGAAAGGCTAACACTAAAATAACTCATCTGCTGACTGAAGGCAACCTTCAGGTGTTCCCACTTTGATGCACATCAAGCAGAAAGCCACCAGTGCAATCAAAACTAAAGACAACATCAAACTAATGACTTAAATAGAAATGGATGGGTGTTTTCCATGGGAGGCAGTAGAAAAAGGAGGTTATTCAGGCTGGAGTGGAGAATGTGCCTAGCTTTCAGTAGCTCTAATTTAGCTGACAGCCCAGCTCAGCTGTCTTTAGACACCAGAAAGTTCAAAGGGAGGTGAAAATGAAGATGAAAGAGATAAAGGCTGAAGAACAATGCATTCTACAGGAGAGCACAAGGTTCTCTTTAGTTCAACAAGTTATCCTCTGAACAACCAAGAGACACAGCATGTTTGACAGGAAAGTAATTTCTCTCTGTACTTGGAATTAGAAAGGTGTATTTGTAAGGTGTTAAAATGAATTTGGTACGAGAAAAAAAGCCACCTTATCAATAAGTAAAAAAGTTTGGAAGAACCCCCTTTTGAATTGTTATGCTCTGGAATTGTCTATGCTGCATGCACAATTGTACCCTACTACATGCATGGGAAGGAAGTGCTATAAGGAGACAAGTGACTGCCTTTCTTTGCTAGAGAAGAACTTGCTTGAAAGCCAGACTAAACATATGCAAGCATTACTTTCCACCTTTCCCTCTGCATTGCTTTTAATTGGTCTTACAAATACGGAGAAAGATTTTTGAAAAATCAAGTTTAATACTTGATTAAAAAAACAAACACGAAATGATTCTTGCCTGAAGAGGCTATAAATTTTGAAGTCATGGGGGTCTGCTACATGTAGATGAGTTTGGTGCCACAGCTTCCACATGGCTATACAAGAAACTAAGCACAGAAAAAGTCTGGCTGAAAAATATTAAAGCACTTTGCAGTTAGCTCCCATACTTTTTGCCTCTGTGAAGTTATATAATTGATTCACACAGTATGATTTGCCTAAAGAGATACCAAACTGTCCACCACAAAACTAAAAAAACCCCAAACCTGACAAACTACTTGGCTGCCACTGGCAGTGACCATCACTGGCAGTGTGGTGGCTTATGGCTTCTTGTGCAACAGGCAGCTTCAATAGATGACAGCTCAACAATCTTCGCAATTAGACAGCATTATTCGAAGCCATACAATAATTAACGAGATAAGAAGCCACAGAGCCAAATAATATCTGAAAGCAAGTTTTATTCTGACCAATTAAAAAATTATTTTGATCAGCATTATTTGTGAATTGGAAAAAAAAAAGAAATACCCAAAAAACCCGACATGTTTTTGCGAAGGAAAAACAAAGCTGTCAGTGCAGTAGGGTTAAAAGATATTACCAATCAGAAGGCTGAAAGCATTATACTTTAAGTTGTGAGCTATGTTAATTTCAAATAATTAAACTTAACATAGCAGGGTGTGCTGTCCCTCATTAACAGATAGCCACTTACCAGTTTGATTTTAATGTATAAAATTCAAAAAGGCAAAAGCAGAATTTTACACTAACGTTCAAATACCCCAACTAACAAAAAGAAAATGTGTTCCTTGTCTCTAGCTAGGTATGAGAATTTAGCCAGAGGAAGTATGTTTTGAGAGCATAGTTTTACGGCAGAATATATGCACTGGATCATCTAAGTCCCTCTGAACCATGCAACACCTTGTTATGCTTATGTTCGTAACTATGCTTTGCTCATGTGTGTTGTGAAATCTTACATTATCTTCACAACCATTAGTGAAATATGTTTCAATTAAGCCAATTACCCAAGGTAAACCCTGCACAGAGGTGCAGCGAGGGCGAGTACCTTTTCCAAGATTACAGTGAGAACAGTTACAAAACTGGAGTCAGAGTTCAGCTCTTGGGGCACTTTGTGTAAGCTCCAAGTCCAGAAACAGAACTAGGGACCGGCCAGATCAGAGTGGGACAAAGGTCCTGATGCTAAGTGATGTGCCCGTGTTCCCATGACACCTCATCGCACTTCACACAAAATACGAGAGGGAAATGCCGAGTGGTACATTAAGTGAAACCCAATGAAACATTTAAGATGCAGGGATAAAAATACATCATATTTTCTGAGTGACAGTAAACGCCTTTCTGGAGCCTTCTATTTCTCATGCTGTCCATCTATCAGGTTCAAAACCACTCCCAGGGAAAAGCACTAGACCAACCACAAATACTGTTTAAAAACTACTCCAACAAAACCAAAGAAACAAACAAATCAAAAGAGAAGATGTTAGGAGAGAGGTTGAAAATAATATGCAAAGTTTTGTAATGCCGTGATATGACACAGTTGTTCAGCCTTGTCTTGAATACACTGCTCAGGCAGACTCAACACATCATAAAATAGATACATAGCAGAAGGAATAACAGGGTCCAGAGACGTGCGATGAAAATGATTAGAGAGATGAAGAGACTTCTGTATGAAGAGAGATTGAAAAAGTTAGCACCATTTAACTCAGACAAGTGACAAGTAATGGTGAACATGTTAGAGATATACAGCAACTGTTTACGGCAGATAAATCCAATACTAATTGCAGCTTTGATAAGCCAGCAGAAGAGATAGTGTATAGGATCGGAAAGGTAACTTATTTACAACCAGCAAAAGGAAACACATTTCAAATAAGATCTTGTTTCCTTGTGGAACTGTGCCACAAACTGACACCGAAGCCTAGACTTTAATAGGATTTGGAAGAAGATTAGCCACTTACATAGATAATAAAAGCATCAATATTCACATTAGATAAGAAACAATACACATCTGGACACAAACTCCCATGATTTAGGTCACACAAGAACTACCAACTGGCACTGCCTATGAAAACCTTGCCTTTGGTACTCACTGTACCAGAGCTTAGCAAAAACTTTCTACTGGAAAATTCGAATATTAATGACATGAGGTAAGGCATAACAGTGCTTGTAGCTGTGAGTTAGTATCACAAGTCCTGTGATCCTAGACTGGAGTTTTATTATTAGACTTATTCCTCCAGAGGATTTCATATAAATATTCAAAGGTTCTCCTTGCCACACTCTTACCCAATTAACAAATGGTCTCCACATCTTTTTCAATGACATGGAGCTCCTGTAACTTGGGAGGAAAATCTATTTCAGAAACTATTTCGGAGACATAAAAAAGCCTTATGTAATGGATGCAAAAATGTATTTTACAGTGCTTTTTTGACTCTTCATCCTTCCATCTTTCCATGGAACATTGCTTTTATAATGATAATACAGATCAGATATACGTTCAAGTAGAATCCGTGTATGAGGAGTTATCTTTCATCCTTGGGAAAACAAAGGAATAAAGCAAATGGGGGTCATTAAAATAATAAGGCAGCTGTTGTAAACAAAGGGGCAAGAGAAATCTATAGCCCAGTACAAAGAAAAAACAAGGTTGCCTGTTATAACATTGCTGGAAGCCCATTTTGTACAGATTTGCTTAGGGTGGAAAAGTGAGTATAAATAAACCCCAGATAATTCTTTACTTGCCCATCCATGTAGCTCCTGCTCTTTACGCTCTTCTCAGTCTTTGCTGCCCTCTGTACCCGTATCTTTGAGGGTATAACGTACATATATTTTTTTCTCCCTGTAGTTTCTGATGATCAGTGAATGATCAGGGATGCCTGGTGTGACCACCAATAGCGTGATCACACTGTGCTCTGAAGACACAGCAGCCGGTGCTGTTCAGGCACTGTCCCTGAATGGGACTGGCAAAGACATCATTCCCCATTGTCTTTCTTTTCTTGCACAAAACAAACAACAACAAAAAATCCACAGCCACAGATCTTTAAAAGGAAAAAAACCCTGCAGGTTCCTTTATACATTCCTATTAGAGTGCACGGGAATCTTTCCATTTCCTAGAACACAGCTATAAACAGAGAAACATAAAGATGATGGTCTGACACCTGTATTAATATGAAATATGAAAGCAATGCAAATGTCATGCCATGATAAATCTCATTAAGTAAGGTAAAACTAAATGTTAATTACAGTGGTTGTCTGTAAAATTGCTTACATGTAATCACCACAAACTGTCTCATGAATGGTGTGGTTGGTGACTAATGGCCACAAACAAGGAGTATGTATATAAATACCTGCAAACCTACCAAGCCACACACTTGCAAAAAGCTCTCACTCCTTGTTAGGTATCTATACTGTAATACAAGGCAGTCAGTGAGTTTATAAAAGTTTTATGGGTGGTTATGATGAAAGAAGCATCCTAAGAAAGTGCATTATCTTTCCCATAGAGAGATTCAGTTGTCCAAGACTCTCAAAAATGTACAATGCAGGCTGCAAAACACTTCCTTTTTACATACTGCACCAATATAAAACAAACTCTCCGTTATCATTACCAAAAAATCTTATGTTATGTAGCAAAAATAATGGCAAAAAAGACATGAAAGACAAAGTTCTGCTGCTCCTTCATTTTTGGCTCATTTACAATTGTCAGGGCATGAAGTTCCAAAAAAGTACACAGACTTGTTCCCTATCAAGTAATTTGCTATCAGTGAGGCAAAGAACAGTTTCCTAACTGATCATGTTCTGCTGAATAGCATGACTTGGGGGTATAGTATTTCCTGCTGCTGAGCTGCCTAAAGCTGAGTCTGTCCTAAAGAGGTGATTAAGGATCACCATGGTTGAACCCAATACACCTCAAGATTAAGTCAGGGATCCCATTAATGCTTCCAAAGCTGCTGAAAGATGAAGAATCATACTTACTCATCTAGCTCTTCCTCTTCAGCTTTAGAGGTATCTGCATAGAGGTATTTGCTCATATCCACTGGTCTGACATTTTTCCTTTTTGCAGGTTGCGGAGGAGAATCTCTCACAGTTACAAATATTTCAGGCTCATGATCTGGCTCATCAAATGGGTTCAAGTACTCTGGGGCATCATCATCCTTGAAGGGATTGTAATTGTCAGCATAGAAACTTTCTTCTGGCTTTGAAGATGAAGCTATTTCAGTGTCTGGTTCTACCAAATAACAAAACAAAACAAAAAAAATAAAAAAAATCATTAAACAGATTTAACACAGAAAAAAATTGAAACCATTTTATCAGATCTTTTTATTTTTAAGGCTTACAAAAAGGTCTGCTTCGTAACTCCCAATACATAAAGTCCTGTCCTAGCCTTAGATGAATCTTCACACTATTTATTTACAGAGTAACCTTGTTTATTAAAAATAGGTCTTTCAAATAGGCCTCATTTTCTTTCTTACTAAAGCTCTTTCTCTACCTAATTAGTTATTAGTTTTCTTATTTGCTGTATAAATGGTATTGCAACAGATTTTAAAACATTTTCCAAGCTATTACCTAATTCGACTCCTAACAAAATGTTCTTAATTATTTGAGCTTTTAATAAAGAAAAAAAAATATCCTGTATTTTTTAATCAAATTACTTTATTGGTTATTAAAATGACTGAACTAAAAATCAGTTATTAGGTATGACCAGTAATTACATTTCAAAACTTATATTTTTCACTGCTAACTGCTCTTGGTAACAATACATAGTCTCACAGTAAAAGTGAATTTAAATTAACCCTAAGAAGACAGATAATCAAATTACTCATCTATTATTTGGGCTGTACAACAAGAAGTTATTAGCAAGCTGGAGCAGCATGCAGTCAGTTCTTTAGCGCTACAGACACTACAGAAAGAACATTACACAAAAGTGAATAGCTGCTGTATACTGAATAATATAAATCCGCATACAGCAATACAACTTTCCTTACAAAGACACTTTATCAATCTTACTCTTCCTGCACCATCAAATGATTAGAAGTTGGGTTCAGTGTTCGATTTGATGTACTTTCAAAATCTACGCAAACAGGAAATTCAGTGTAGTGTCACTAAAAACTAAGTTTCAGTAAATACTCCCACATAATTCTTAACAAAAAGTGCTTCTTTTTCACATGTTCAGCTACTAAATTGAACAAAGCATAGCTTTGAGCTTTAAAAAACCCACCCGACTCTAAAAGTTATTTGTAGCAAGGCTGTAAAAAAATAAAAAGATGGAGTTCCAAGTGTGTGTTTGTCACTAAATAAATATTCATGAAGACAAAATCACTAGTCACACAACTAACAAACAGAAGGAGCAGCAAAAGAAACAGCACTGTCATTACTTGGGTTTGAATGGATGATGTACTGAAGTTGCTAATCTTCATGAATTGCTAGCAAATGTGTTTTCTACTCTGCCAGTAAACTTCCAGTACACCCTGTCTCCAGCCATTAGCACAGCCCAAGGTGATATAAAGCCCTCCCCCGCATAGCGTGACTGACTATAATCCACAGGTTGAACAAGAGCCACTCCTAGTTGGACAAGAATACAGTCCCCAGATGCAGGTAGCAGCTTTACCTATCAATGCATTAGAGTAGTCACCACTAGATTAGGGCAAGGGCTTGGAGCAGGAAAGGCTTTAGTCTTCCTCAGAGCAACTGAAACCTACCAGGGACTGGAAAGATTTAATTTTAGGAAGAACTTCATGTTTCTAGTGCTCTTCTTCTTCAAGGTTCTTCACATCTGAACCTCAAAGACTATGTTATCATATTGTCTTCTATGATACTTCTAAGGGTCTGTTTCTAAAGTGATGGATCATTTCTCTGTGGTCAGAAAGTAGAAATCAAATGGGCTTGGCTGGAATAACAGAATAAATTAATCAAAATCTTACCTAAGCCCAATGTGGACTCTCAGGAGATAAATCACTCATCTGAGACTGAGGGTGAAACAAGGCAAACTTGTACTTTGCCAGACAATACTGTAGGTTTTAACTGGTAGACACACTGTTAACTACACACAGTGCTGTGCCTGTGGGATTCCCTTATGGTGATTATTCAGAAAATTACTTCCACAAATTCATTTAATTCCGGATGAGGTTTGTGGTTTCTTATTCCCTTGGCAACCTGGTCCAACTTAACATTAAGGAAGCAACATATACAGTACTCATCTACCTCCTATGTATCTTGTAAGTTCTGACATTTAACTTAAATTTCAGAATGCAGCTAACACCGTTTCACATCAAAAAAATGGAATAAAAAAGGAGACTGAGAAGTGTAAACCAGACACTGCACTGAAATGGGATGAGACAACAGGTAAAGTGAGAAGTTAGTTATGCCTAATTGTCAGTTTTTATATATCAAAGTGTGTTCTAAAAAGAACTAATTAATCAAAATCCTTGTGACTAACAGTAAAAAAACCCCAAACAATCAGGGCTGCAATAATAGTCTTAGCTAAAACTAAGAAGAGGTTCTGTTACTTTTTAAGCTGGTTAAACCTCACCTGAATGTCATAAGCAACATTTCAGCTGTGTCTTGGGAGATGGACATATAGACAAACTACTGCAGGATAAACCAGGGTGTGTATTTGCAGTATGTCAGCTGGAGTGTATTTGTTCACTTCTACCCCAGAGTAAATACAACATGCTTATCCCTTAATAAAAGGGAATAAACTACTGGGCACTTATCCTGGGAGAAAGGGTAGTTACTGCACAGTAGATGATGCGTATTAAGCTCACACCCTAGTTTATGTGTGGTGATTTGTTCACAGGCCTGCATCCTTATAAGAAAGATGTTGCAGAGAGAGCCACAGTAAAACATTGAATGTCTACAGCTTAACTGACAAGGGCAAAAAAAAGAAAAAAAAAAATCAAGGCAAAAATCTTAAAAACACAAATATGATCAAATAAAGCAAGAATCCTTTGGCAGCATTACAGACGAAATACCTCAGACACCAACATCTTAAATGTATTTTTTCATTTATTTTAAGCTAAAACTGTGAAAGAAGTTCTAACATTGACTTATTAACATCACTCCAGTGTCCAGCGCAGGTGGTCATGGCAAGCAAATGTTTCACCCTGCCTGCCCTGAGGTAACCTCATTTACAGCTGAGCTAGACACCTTTACACTCAAAACTTGCAGGTTTATGTTCAAACTCCTAATGCCTAAAATCAGGTGAACCAAATCCCACCCTTACTGCATAAATATATGTGTCTTGTAGGTCATGGTAGTCAGAATACTACTCAAATGTTACCCATACATTTAGTGATGTAACAAACTAGGCCAAGCAAAACTGCTTTGGAGGTCTGCCCTCAAAAGACAGATTCACATAAAATGCAGAAGTAACCTAATGAAATGCAGAAAATGACTGATTTATATCTTGTTCCAACTGTGCAACTTATTGATGATGTTTTAACAAAAATTTTTGCTACTTTAAACTTTGCTCACATCATAAAATATTTAATCAAGAGTGTGCACAACTGTGAATACCTGCTTCTGCCACTCTGTATGATGGATCACTGCACCTGCACATGAATCTGTTGATAAATATGCATTATCATAACTGAGCAAAACTTGCTGATAACTCAGATGCAGCATTCAAACAGATATTAGAAACAATGTCAGTAATGTCTTCTGAAGTTAAAAACATTCAAAAACAATCTTTGAAAATTACACTGTAAGCTTTTATTTTTAATTTGCTTTTAAGTGTCTCCTGGAAACAGCAGGTTAAATGCTTGTTTAAATCTGATAAATTCTAAGGGGCAATGCAAATGGTTTTTGCAATTCTTTCTATTTCAACACTATGAATCAAGTGCCATAACCCTAACTAGCACAAAACTCTTTCTCTTGTTCCTTGGCTCAACAGTAACTACTCAACAGGCTCAACAGTTTGGCCTTGCGCGTACGGCACTGCAGATCAGCGCTTGGAGACCTCTGGCTTATGATTAATTAAAAATTTCACAAAATCCTACACACTAGCTGAAATTAACAGAGCTTCTAAAAATATCATTTTCAGGAGACTTTTATAGGCAGTATCTTGTAGGGGCCTAACAAGAACCCAGTTAACTTGACCGCTCATTTTCTCTCCTCTTGTCCAGGATACTATTTGTCCCCATCTTGCCCTGCTTCCTTCGATGTCCCCACAGGACAGAAGGTCCCCATAAGGGTCTCCACCTGAACCCAACCACTCTGCCTACCATGGGGTCTCTGAAAACCTTTAGGACTAGCTGTCAAGTGTTGGTCACCACTTCGTGAGCCTCTGATAACAAATTGAGTTGCTGGGTCAGTGGCTCAGCAGCACTGCTTTTAAAGCCACAGCCACTGGTACCTTCTCTGTAACAAAGGCACTCGTATTTTCCTCAAAGACCTAAGGATGTTGTGAAGTGCATTTCAGGGGGCTGAACATACAACAGCTTACAAGGGGCTTATTTCCTTCTTCAAGCTGATTTTACACTAAGGAGTCAACACAGATTCCCCCTAATCATTAACCACAGCTGAAAACAGAGGATGCCAGTCTGTACTGAAACCAATTTTTTTAATTGCAGTTCTCTACACTGATATTAAACAAACAAACAAAAAAGACGCTTGCAGTTTGGCACTCCAAGGGTCAAACACGCAATTTTGCATGGTTAAGTAATAAAGCCACAGGGGTAGGAGTGACAAGATGTAGAAGTATTACTACACAGAAGCATCAGTTGCTCTTGTGCCAGATTCTGGAAACATTACTTGCCCTAACTTCACTGAGAAAGACTGTTCATGGTAGTAATAACTCTGGCATGACCTATCTGCACAATCAGCCTTCTAGTTCCCAGAGGATCTCCAAAAAAATCACCCTGCCCTTCAACCCACTTGCTTTTTGTAACAAAAACATATTGTGACACATCCCTTAAAACCAAACAACTCCCCCCACCAAAACATTACACATACCACTTTCCCCTTGGCAAAGGATGAAAGAACAAGCCACATGTGAAAGATACTTAGTTATGCCATTTACTGCACTACTGGCAGGCACACAGTTGCAATGGTGATGTGAGCAGCGTTAACAAACAGCACAGAATAAAAATAGTACTTCTAGAAGGCATAATGACTGGCATCCTATAAACCACCGATGATTTTCTATTATTTTTATTAATACTCACACGACCAACACATTACATTTCAGTAAGAAATACAAGGAGAAGGGACAGAGCAATTGCTTTCTTCTATATTGGCTCTTGTATTGCTCTCCTTACAACTAACCCAGAAGGATTCTGGGGTTTGGTACCGCACTGTAGCACTGCTTTCATTTGCAGTGTAACACATGCTGCCGGGAGCTCGGAAGTCTACACTCAAGGTAAAGTAAATGCTGTTTTAAATGAAAGGGGGAGGCAGTGACAGCAAATAGTTACCCTCTTGTCTCAGGCGTGTTGCAGGAAACTTGTACTGGTCAAATGAAACTTCACATTTGAAAAATACATGGAGTGCTGCAAGTGTGGTGGTGTCGTCCACTTGCATTTGTTGTACATGTTGACTTCCCAAGTAAAATATTTTGCACAAAAAAATTAACTGATTTTAGAGTTCTGTTGTAATGTGACTAAAAGACAATCCAAAAGGCAGTCCTCATAGGATCATCTACATATTGTCTAGTAAAAAGCTGTAGAAATTACTTTTGGTTTTCCAGATTTCTAATATCTAGATATAGAGGGAATATGTCTCAATTTGACATGTCAACCAAGAAACACAGCTGAAAACCTTTTTCAAGGCAAGTTATTCACGTGCACATTGACTCCACTGTGTTTGTAAGATCACCTACACTTCAGACTTTTTAAACCACAGCAGGATCCAGAGACAGCTCACTGATGACAGTCTGCCATGCACCACACCCATAGCGCGCACGTGGATGCTGGGAGCACTCAGGCCTTTAGTTTCTCTCCACCCCGCATTCCCAGGGTTAGGTGATTATGGGATTAGGAAGATAGAGGGAAAGCAGCTGGTCTGTGAACGGGCACAAGAAATATCTGTCTAGGAAACAAGTATCTACTGGCAAGTAATCCTCCTTTCTCTTTGAGTGACTGTCATACCTGGGGTGACTCTAAGCATGCTCTCACTAAGCACACAGGTTACAGGCTTGATAGGAATATCCCTGGAATATCTCTGCCCAATGGCACATTGTGCCTCCCGGCATCTGATGGCAAAGTACTAGGGAAAGGAGGCTCCAGGTAGCTGCTCTGCACAGCTTGGGGAAAGTAAATAACAAATTCTATGGAAAGACTGAACTTTCTACAAAGAAAGTCTAAATTCAAGATTTGCCTTGTCCGGACAAAAAGATAGTAGTGAACATGTAGTAAATAGAAAAATACTTCATCCCTGCACACCTGAAAGGTTAATCTCTTGATTTAAGCAAATCATGACAAGTGAAGCAGGTAATGTGACTCTCTAAGCCTGCAGAAGGAAGTATGCCTTAAACTCTTGAACCTCTGTCATGCTCCCAGGCTCCTGGGGTGGCCACCAAAGAGGCCACATTCGCTTAAGGATGCAAAAACAAACGAGCAGGTATAGTCTCAATGAGCTTCCTAAAAAGAGAAGGCAGCAAGGAAAGTTCCACTGAGGTGTCAAAATAGAAGAAATATCCTAAATCATGAGGGAATGTATCTGTGGCCAAATGGGAAACAGCCTTCTGCAGTAAGGTAACAAGGTGAGAACAGCTGCAAAAAATTGCGTAGCTTCAAAATGTAGTCCAAAACAAAGGAAAATCTCCCCAAATTGGTACGGTCTAGGTGCTCCCCATGCAGAGACACTGATCCAATTAGCCATAGACATATAGAGCAGATTCCAGCTACTGCTGAAGACCAGACCTGTCTTCTCTAATTTTGTCTCAGCACAGTTTTTTTCCCTCTCAACTTTCTGCGGAGGAAGATGACTGGAGGAAAGGCACACAACAAGAAGGCCAAGCAAGGGAAGACTAACATAACCAGTGCCCATTATATGGACAACACAGCTCAGGAATAGAAAAGCCAGGATTTCTCAGAGGAATCTGAGGTGAACAGAAGAATCCCTAGGGAGCCACTAATGACGAAGTAAAAGCTTTAAAAAGACCACACCAGATGTCCCACTCTTGGTCTGATAGCCTGAAAACCTCAGATCTTCCACCTGGTTCAGTAACTCCAGGAAGACATACTGCTGTCCCATGAACCTGACACAAGCTCCATCCCTCCCAAATAAAAAACACCTTGTGACACAGTAGGAAGAATCTAGTGACACCCTGTTTATGAAAATTGTATCATGTTGTTGTACGTTGACTGCTGCATGATGGTGACAATGTGTGGGAGGAATATTTGGTACACACACACCCAACAATTCAGCATTGCTGCCCACAGCTGTGTAAATGGGACTTCTTTTGGAACTCGACAGTCTTGAGCCCTGAGACCATCCAAGTACACAGAACAGAGCCAGAAGAATGCAGAAACGTTCATGATTGTGATTGAAGATAGCAATAAAGGCTAGATGCCACCAAAGAGACCAGAATCAACTGAGAAAACACACTCCACATATATTGGGGGGTCTTTTGGGAACATAAGCAGGCCAGCATCTTTGATGCAGGCGGTTCACGGTGAACTTGATACGAGCTATTCCAGTACTAAGGAAACAACACCAGTTTCTGTCTCCCTGTCCCTGAGATGAGAAGTAACTGACTCTTAGTGCATACACTTTGTGGTCAGAACACCTGCTGCTTTTCTGCCAGAGCAAGTTCTCTCTGGAAAAGAAAGGAAAGCTGGGTTTGAAAGACAACTGTTTAGGTAGCATGGTACTTGTGCAGCTTTCTCCAGGAAGAAGTGGGTTCTTCTTTGTAGAGCAGAGAAGAAAGAAAGGAATATAGGCTGAGACTCTCAGAGAAAGTTGTGTATGGACAACTAGATGGATAAAAATAGGTGTTTTATATCCCTGGTTATTCTGGCTGCTTCTATGATCCTAAAGGAATTCACAGGCAAGGAACAGGAAACAAAGTTGAAGATCCAGACACCAGAACCTAATCATAGAATACTTAGGACTAGAAAGGATCTTAAGATCATTTAGTTCCAATCCCCCCCCCCCCCCCCCCCGCCATGGGCAGCGACACCACACTCAACCATGTCACCCAATACTGCGTCCAACCTGGCCTTGAACACTGCCAGGAATGGAGCATTCACAACTTCTTTGCGCAACCTGTTCCAGTGCCTCACCACCCTCACTGTAAAGAAGTTCTTCCCTATAACTAACCTAATCCATATATACTGGTATCTACAAAGCTGAAACAACTCACTTTTGCAGCTCTAGAAACACCTGACAACTTTATAGGAGGAAAAGCCCAGAATAGTGGCTTTATGGCTTCAGTGGCAACATAGAGAAGATGAGAGTGTAATCCCTGTTTGAGAAACACGGGCTGTGAGACAACACCACAGCCAAAGTATGACAGGACTTTGATCACCACCCACATTGGCCTCTGTGGACTCCAAAGGCAAAAAAGCCATGTTGTGAGTAAACAGTCAGCTTGTCCCAAAAAGGAGAGTAAGTGCAGATGGGAACTCCAGCTCTGAAACGTACCCTCCTTAGACCTGGTATTAGAAATCCCATGGCTGTATTCTGAGCTGGTTCTTTTCTACCACCATTAAAGAGTGACTCCTGGAGTTTGGTCAAAGGTAGTAAATGCTCCTTGGTATTTTCTGTTGGAAGAAATATCTTGGAGCTTCAAACCTGAGAATTGACTATGGGCTGGCATTTCAAGCAGCTGCACACTAAGCAAGTCATACAGTAATATACCTTTCTTTTTTTTGATGGTAGCAGATGGAAGTCTGCAGATCTGAACATGGAGTTGAGGAGATGCCTGATGTCTTAGTGCTCCTTTCTGGCCTTATGGCCGAAGTCATATCAGATTAAAACTTACAGGGGTTGTATTTGTCACTTAAACAGAACAAGAATGGGCATGTCAGTCTTGAAAGGGGATTAACACCTACCACGTGGTGCAAGGTGTAATGCCAGAAGGCTTAACTGAGGAAGCCATAAAAGCAAAAAAGAAGAATGAAAGACATACAATTAAACTATAATAATGAAGATTAATGGTAACCAAGAACAGCTGTGATGTAGTGAAGGCTGCAGTGAAGGAAGTTCTGGCATAAAGCACCATCCACATGGAACAGAGGTGCCTGACAGTATGTGTTGCTCATTTATATCATGAGTACTAGTAGGTCTAAAAGTTTCTGGTTCAAGTCTTAGCTTGGTAGGCTCCAGTGGCAAATGCACATAAGGACGTGACTCAAAGGATAAAAATCCATTTTCCAGTGGCAACTGGACCATTGCTATTGCTACCTCAGTACTGCATGCAATAACAGTATTTAATCAAAATAACATTTTTCATTTGTAGCTCTACAAAAAACAAATCATGTTTCATTAAGCATTTCCAATTAGCAATGAATTGTGTAAAGCAAACCTATTACCTTCCACATCAGGGTCTCCAAACGGATTTAATTCTGCTGTGTCAGGATCACCAAAAGGGTTCGTACTAGAGTTGGCCAGGTCTTGCTCCTCTTCATCCAGAAAATTAAGCTTATTGATAAGCTCTATGAATAAGTCAGAATATTGCTTTAATATAGATATGAACTGTTCATCTAACATATTTCAAGCTCAAACCCCCCCCTGTATCAACAGTCCCTTGAAACACTGTACCAGGATATGGCATGAACTGCACAACTAAGGTAATGCATTTCAGTGAATACACCAACAAAGAAGGAAAAAAAAAACAACAGTGAAATGAATGAAACATCAACTTTCTGATCAGAACATCAGGTAATAGAAATGACTACTAAGAAAGCCTTCTATTATCTTCATTAAATAAATGTTGCAGAACATCTAGCAAGCTAAAGACAGCAATTTATTTTTTGTTGTTCACATCTATGTTAACTACAGGCAGGAAATTTTAATTTTTGAATGCATTATGCATGTAAATTCACAGAAGGAACATTTTGTCATGTTAGAGGTCAAGTATTACTGACTGCACAACTAATGTTTTAGGCTTGGGGTCTGGTGTTGGGTTTTTTTGTGATTCTTTTTCCCTTTCTTGTTCATTATCAGATGACAAACAGAGCTGTAGAGGAGATAGGCTCTTTCTCTATCATGTTGTTACCTGTTGGATGCACTACAAATTACTGAGAGTCATGCTGGGTGGAAGCACAGAGATAAAACTGACAGCTGAATACAAGCAGGAGTCAAAAGGTAATGGGTCACAGTAAATACAGACAATCAGAAACAGAAAGAAAGGAGGAAAGCTCATAGACCTTCAGAGGAACTGGCTGATTTAGCTGAAGGCATATTTGCTCGCTTTATGTAGTCATCTTGATCTTCATCTAAGCTGCTCAGAGCATTCAACTGGTTTACAATTTCTGCAAATAGAAGCCAGTCAAGACAAACGTAAGGCAAGGGCATTTAATGAAACAGAAGTGGAACGAACACTGTTATTAGAGAGTGAGGGAGAGAGAGGGCAGAAGAGAAGACACTTATTGTTAATTAAAAGAATACATTTAGAACAAGTCCTTGCAATGATATACCTATAGCAAAGCACCTGTGTAGCTGCTTCAGTCATAGTTTAACAAGAAACCAGTTAACAGACATAAATAAAACCTTGCCGGATTCCTGGTGTCAGCAACAGTAATTAGTTTTATGAGGATGAGTACGCACATGAGTTCAAAACTTAGATGGACTAGACGTAATTTAAAGACTTTTCCTGCTTGTGAAGAAAACCTGAAAGTTAAACCATTGTCAAACAACACAAAGCAGCCCCAGAACAATTTACTTCCCTCCCAAACCCTTATGGCTACAGAAAACTAATAGATACATGTGCATTTTATATATTTTATTTATACACACACTAAGATTATTTAACAATTGTAATCAGTCACCATTAAATCCTGACCTATGATAAGTTGAACTTATCTAATAGTTCTAAAAGATATGATCAGTACCGTGTTATAAGAATGAAAACTGAACATATGTATTGGTTGAATTTGCCTCTGTAATGCTATGCCGCTAACACGTTTCTGTTTCGTAAAATCCTATTCCACCTTCTGTTCACACTGGAGGAGCCATCCAATACATGGCTCTGAATTGCCATGAATTAATAGTTTTTAAAACGTATTAATTCTAGCCAAGATGTTAATGACTCCATAATTCTGGGAGGAAAGAAACAAACAAAAAAACAACTAGGTCTTGGTGGCTTCTGGCCCAAGGGGAAAAATTCCTCTCTGATCCCCGCACTAACAAACAAAACAATGACAAATGCGGTTTCTGTAATGGGGATTCAGCCTGGGGCATCTCTGAAAGACTTCAAGCACAGGTTTCTGTGGCGAGGGGACAGCCTTCCTCATCCTTCCAGCTGACAAACAAGCAGGAGAAACCTGTGATAAGAGGTGATGCTGCTTCTTGAGTATCAGTGCCCCTCTGACAGTTTTTTCCATCTCCCATCTTTTCCCGATGAAATAAACGGATGATGTCTTCTGGCATCACCAGTGAAGTTAAAGCTATGTAGATGCCTTTACGGCACACTTCTCAGTCATTCTTGGATTTCCTTTAAACTTTGATTTCTTGTGAACACAAGAAGTTACTTCTTCATAACACTTTCAGTTTGCTGCTGTTTTGAATTTAACTTTTACTTATATGGCTTTTGTTTGGGAAAGAAAACATTTATCACTGGCTCATAGAATAATCTTTGTTCTATGAACTAGTTATAAAGAGCAAGATGTTGGACTGAGGTGAAAACTGAGTAGTATTGTGACTTTCCCAACTCATGTTGGTGCCCACAGCCACCCACAAATTCCTAGCAGGGGGCACTCATGCCTTTTCACAGGGCAACACCTTCACAAGTTGACACACTGACATAACTCTTAATTTCAAGCCTTCACAGACATCATAAGGAACCTGAGGCTGAAAGCAGAGTCCAGAACCTGAAAATATTTGGGTCATATGAGAAGTTAAAGAAGTTAACAAACTTCTTTAACATAAAAGAAGTTAAAATTTCTTTTCCAAATTTAAACCGCTTTGCAATGATACACCAATCTGCAAATTAACAAGTAGAATGATCTATTCTCCCAATATCTATTGGACATAATCCATGCTGACAATGATGAAGCCACAGCAGAATTCCTCTTAACCACACTTCCTAATTGTTCTTGACCTTAAAGCAAAAATCTGTTTAGATGGGATTACATTTTTATCTATCTACACAGTTAATTTCCCCACCCTCACTTCCTTATTTTTAGCTCCAACAAACAAGACAATTGTTCTAAAAATGCAACACCAAAACTGCCCCAAAACTCTTAACTTTTCAGTATAAAATCATATATACACCTTAGAGATCTGAACAATATAATACTATCTTCGGGGAATTTTTAAGACTCAAGATACATAATGGAAAATACCTTCCTGTACTCAAATAAAATGGAGTTGACCTTATAAAACACTAGTACAAACAAATTACTAGTTCAAAACAGGCTGAGATGCTGACATGATTTATAATTTACTATGCCAGCATGTGAAAAAACCAAAACAATTACAATTCAGTTTTTATTGTCAGAAAATAACAAATTAAGTTCAGAGCTTTAAAAAGAGGGTATTCTTTGATGTGGTCTGAATCACCTGGTCCCATCTGCCAACCTAAACACCCATATGCACTCCAATGTTTCTCATTACAATATTAAATGGTTTATGTCATATTTTGGAGTGTGGAAATGGTAGGTTGGAGATTTATATCCTATATTATCTTTTATAAATCTCATTATCTACAAACGTACATTAGCTTGTTCTACAAGCATGTCATATAAATCACTGTTGGGGTTTTTTTTTCATTCTCTCTTGCTCTTTTTTTTTTTTTAAGCAGCTTGCTGCTGCTGACAAAGAGTAAACGTATCAGAAGTTTACAGGAGAGATGTGGATTTGCAAGTGGCAAGAAAAGGTTACTCATACTGCTTTCCAGAAGCCTGCTCTTGAAATATGCTGGGATTCAGACTCCTGCAATAGGTAGCACATGGGAACATTGCTCAGTCCATGTGGTGCCACAGGACAGACACCGTGCTCCTCTGCAGATGGAGCAGGAGCCAACTATCAACTTCAGCATGAGGCTCTAAGTATCAATTAAAACATTAAGAGAAGCAATGTATTTATTACTACCCTAAGTTTGTGAGTTATGAGCCACATTTCTTCAAGGGGTTGGAATGAGATGTTATTAAGGTCCTTTCCAACCCTAATTACTCTATGATTGTAAGATTTTAAGTATATTGGAATACCTTGTATTCAACTGGAGACTAAAGACAGGATCCTAGCATCACAGAATCAACTAGGTTAGAAAAGACCTTTAAGATCATCAAGTCTAACCATTAAATATTTCCACGAGGTTTAAATTCATCTATATTAATAGCATAGAAACAAAATATTTTAAACATATTTCATGGCTACAAACATCATTTTCAACTTCACATAAAACAGAACAGTTAGGTGGAGATACACTTTTATACATGAAAAATTTAAACAAGAATTATTGGTAAAGAAGGGGTAAAAGCCTGAGACAGAGGGATATTTTTTTGAATGAAAGTAATGCTTTGATTGATAAATATCTTTCAGTCTGATCCCAAGGTCAGTTGTATGGCAACAGCTCCTATGTTGACTACACCAAACTCCACAGTGCTTTTGAGGTAGAGCAGTATTGCACCATTTATTTCACAGCTGTAGAAACAGAGGCACAGATACTTACCCCAAGTTGGGCAACACATCAAAGAAGAGAAGCAGCATTTGCTAACTCACCTGCACCATCTAGAGCCCCATTCAGCAGTCTCCCTTGTTCTCCTAGTAATGGATATATTTGTTTATCTATAAAACTAACTTTGGGACCAATTAAAAATTTAACTTTTGTACACTGCAAAAGGAACAGTGTCTGTGATAAAGATTTGCAGCACCTCTTGCAGCTGTGGCTGAGAATGACAACTTGACTTGAGTCAAGCCATCCAATGTTTCTCTGTGAGAAGACCTTAAGTCAAAAGGAAGAAAAACCCTTCTGCTTTACTACTTGCACTTTATTTTTTCAAAGCTTGCTTTACAGATATTAACCATCTAATACTCCCCTCATTCCTGTGAAGAAGTTATAGCCACTATCCCCATTTTACAGTTGGGAAAACAGGCACACCGAGGCAAAGTGATTTGCCGCAGGGGACTCTGAGTCACTGAAGGCATTCTAGCTCGCTCAGCTGCCAACACCCTAACACAGCAACAGATGAGAAAATGTTGGTAGCAGCAAGCTTTCAAAAGGGTTATGTAACTTCCCCAATTAACTTTATAGGATTCCGTGAACACAATTATTTTTGAAGTAAATTTTAGAAAGAGTACTTCACTACATCAGTGGTGTTCCTTTTCCTTCTTTCTATACTTCTTCCTATTTTTCTACCATGATTCCTACCTCTTTCTCCCTTGGTACCTCAGCAATTCTCCTTGTGGCTTACTAGTTTTTCCTATTAATGATATTTATTACAGGAGTCACTTCAACTGCCAATGAAATCAGCCTTGAACACATGTTGAAATAGATCCTTTACATTTTATTTATTGATGTTTACTTACTGCCCTACGTTTTATGTTCTCCATTTGCTTGGGCAACTATGTGTACTCATTCTCCTTCAACATATACCTCTCATCCCTCTCCTTGTCTAACATGGGAAAAGTTAGCCAGGCTAACGAAGCAACTCAGTTGTTGTAACTAACACAAGTCTTCCAAGGCTGACCTTTACCCACCCTTCAGGTTGCCTTAACGATGCATCTACAAAAACTCCAGCCCAAGCTTGTATCATTAGGAAACAGCATCAGAACAGGCTGAACAAAGAGCAAATATAGTGCAGCTCAGAAGTATTTATTGCATCTGCCTTTCAAGTAGGTATTGTAATGTTTGCTTAGAACCGATCATTTTGGCCTTTACAGCAGTAGATGGAAAAGCTGAAATGCCTCTAAAATAACTGGAGCTGGGACTTAGTGTTGCACATCAGGCAGTTCACACTTTCCCCATTCATCTCCAAGTACATTCACTACATAGCCAAAGGATAGTGGACAGACTAGTCTAATTAAATCAGCTTTTCGCTTGATCAGGAGTTGTTTCTTGGCTTGTTTAGATGCTGAACACTGCAAAAATCAATAAAGTTGAGGAGCAAGATCTGCTGCTAGTCAGCTACTGTCCTTCTGCACATGGGTTTTCCATAGTAGTCCTCAGGGCAGTGTCTAGGCATATCTTAATAAAATGCTTCTGTACAATAGTTTATACAGACTTTATGTAGCCTCTCCTTTAAGTGCCCTTCTCTTTACTGTGATTATCAGATGGCCTGGTGAACATGTCAGGTTTTGTTTGGTGTTCTGACCAGCACCTGAATTATTCTGGTTATACTGGGAAAGAAGACAACCCTGAAGAATGATTTCAATGTGACCAGACTGGCATATCTCTTAGGCATATCCCTGCCCAATAATACATTATCCCTGTCTCTCAAATATTTAATTCTGGACTTTCCAGTCTCTCAAATATTTAATTCTGGACTTTCCAATCTGCTCTGTGCCAGACATATACAGCATAAGCAGAGATTTGGTCAGGGTACAAAGGTTTAATTGAATATGTAAAGCATGGAGAAAGCACATTTGCATCCTTTCACAACACGAAATACAACTAAGTAATAACTGCTTCAGGCTGAACCTTTCAATTGCAATGAAATCTCGAAAAGAAGCAATGAAAAGTAATGTTTTGTAACACTGAACCAATGTTCCTTTGGACGTTCAAGAACAGATTGGGCAATTCACTTCTGATTGGGATGTTGTTCCTAACCTTAGAGAAGGATCCTTTTATTTCAATAGACATTTTTAAAGAGCACAGGCAGGCATGAAGGCTGGCACCAGAAGTTAATTTGTCTTTTCCTGATTCTTTTGCACTAAGAGTTCCTACAGAACTCATCTGGAGCAGTGCTGCATAATGATCTCCAACAACAATTTAACATCATCACATCCTGATCTGACTTGCATCGATTAGTTCAGCTATCCTGGACACACTAAGCATTTTCATCAGCAATTCAAATGTGGTTATACTATCTCACTTCAAACAACCTTACTGTCAAATTCTGTTAAATTCCTTTAACAGCCTCCTGATTTCATTTCCACAAGACACCCCCAACCAAAAGGCAGAAGTATGCTGCCTGGAATTACCATGTTATTGAGCAGAACCTCAGCACCTACCCATGGCACAACTCATTTCGCAGTTATTCTCACAAACTCTCTTCATTACTTCCCTTCAGCTCATCCTCTTGTCTTCTCGTTCACTGACCCTTTCCCTCCCTCATTTTACTCCTCTGTTCACACTGGTTCTTTGCTTCCCTAAAATGCTACTTTAGTGCATTCTCTCCTAAAACCAGGACATCCCCTCCTCCTCACAAATCAATGCTGAATCCATGAATATTAAACTTTGTTGAGTTAGGGATGGGTCCTTCTTCAATCAAACTATTCTAAACTTTGTTTTGGTTGGGATTTTTTTTTTTTCCCCAAGTTAAATACAAATATAGCATGAGGATAAAATTCATGGAACACAGCTGGCAATTAGCAAAGGAACTTATTTTACCATTCCTGTGGCAAAACCAACCTGTAATTTTTGCAGCCTTTTCCTCTTGATTCACTCTGTTTTCTTCATCTTCTTCATTGTCTTCCTCAAAATCATCTAGATTTCCAATATCAGCTTGTTTCATACTCATCAAACTAGCGAGGCTTTGCATATCTTCATCCCTAAACAACAAATTTCAAACCAGGCATTAAAATGCAGCCTGTTAATACCACATCTGATACTACCACATTATTAAAAATCCTTTGCATATTTCTATGCTTTCTTTTCTTCAGGGAGGTCTCTTATCTCAGATCTGATCTTGAATATAGCAAAAGAACAAAAGAAATACACTCATGTATATTAATTTCTGAAGGGAAAGTTTTCTATTAGCAAAATTCTAAAGGGTAAAAAAAGTACTGCCTTGCATTAGGAGTCAATTTAATGACTGCTGCTTAATTTTAAACCACTCTAGAAATGCCAGCAATTGCTTATCTGGTCTTGTTCGGTTACAACGAAAATGCTTGGTCAGACCTACTGTCCATATGCTGTATGTGACAACTATCATTACATTCCCTCAGAACTCCTGATGCTGCTACAGACGTTAAAATCCCTTTTCTAAATACCTGAATTCATTAAGAAGATAAAAACCCATTACATATCAATGGCCAATTTCAATTTTTATTTGACTGTATCACATGTATTTATCTTTCACATAACTGTACCTTTCATATCAAATATACATTTGATGAAAAGATCAAATGTATATGCAGTGATTCAGAAAAATGGGTGTTCTACGTTTGTTTCATAAAAAAACCCAAGATTTTTTAAGTACATGATGTCTTTCTTGAAGCAACAGCAGTCTTAACCTCTTCTCTTTTTAAAACCATTTGAATATCTATTGGGATTAATCAATATTATTTTTATAATAATTTTTTACAATAAAACAGACTGGACATTGCCTGCCTACAGGGCACCTCTGTTGAAAACAGTTTGGGGATTTTGGAGGTGAGCAAGCTTAAGGAGAGCTGGCAAAAGTGTCCTGAGATCCATCAAAACAGGACCACAAGCAGCAGTCTGAGGTAATGACCCCTATTTACAACTTGCAGATGTTGGACTGCATCTAGGGTACTTTATCCAGTGTTGGGTCCCACAGCACAGGACCACTGAGATGGTTTGGTGCTGGAGCACCTGCCCTACAAAAAGAGGCTTAGGGAAATGGACTTTCTGAGCCTGGAGAAGAGATGGCTTTAGGAGGACCTAGCAGCAGCCTACCAGCATTGCTGAGAAGACAGTGGACATGTATTGAAACCTGAGAGGTTGTGATCTGATGTGAGAATAAAGTTGGAGCAGTCACCAAGCAGCAGTGGGATGGGTTGTCCAGAGGGCTTGTGCAGTCTCCATTCTTGGGGGCTTTCAAGCCCCAGTTGTATAAAGCACAGAGCAAACTGGTCTGATCACACTGCTGACTGCTTTAAGCAGTCTGGAAAGCCATCCATACAACAGTTTTGGGACACTTGTATTGCAGTGGGCAATGTCTACAAGTGTATTCAGAACACTGAAAGCCGGAAGTAAACTGTTAGCCTTTTGGAGGGAAAAATAAAAATGAAGGAGAGGTAAAAGAACTACCAGAGCAGTAGTTTCCCCCTCTACCTCTTTTCATTCTGCTATTCTCACATTCCCATATTCTTGAGACAGAAAGGAAAAGCAAAACAGGATGGTGACAAACGATCCATCTTCTAGCCAATTGAAGTTGTCATCTGACATCTTGAATCTGACAGAAATTGCAGGAAAAGTTATAGGATCTGCAAAAATAATCTGTATCCTCTGCCCTCCAAAGGCTGTTTAAATAAAGGACAGAATCAGGTGAGAAGGGGGAGTGGTAGTCAGCGCCCGACTGAACTCTTTCCACAGGATGTTCTTGTGTTCAACGCAAAAATCTTACTTCTGACTCCACCCTCTCTCACCTTACAACTGGCTTTGTCCTTCTTTCATTCTTTGTGAAATATAAATAGATGAAATAACAATAAGTTTTCCTTCCCACATTTCCCTTGCAATCTGCTAAGGGTATTGTTGGATGAACACACACATGCACACAAACGAAATCCTGCTGATTTCAGACCTGTAGATATTTTTAAGCTGCTGTTATTTACAATGTCTATAAGGTTAGAGGACAAGCTGTTTGTCTCTGAAGAACACAAGGCTAAAATCAGAGTAAGAAACGGTTTTTACTCAGCTAAGAAACTAAGTATGGCAGGAATGATAAGTATGTTGAAGGATACTCTCAAATTCTACCATTCTATACAGAAAGCTCTTTATCCAAAGAATTCTTTGAAAAGCAACACAAAGCAGGCTATATGGGGAAAAAAAAAAAACAAACAAAAAACCCACAACAACTTACGTGGCTTTTCCTTCCCTCAGGAAAATACAAGATAAAGAGAACTGTAATGTGGCTGATACCACTTTCTTGGACAAAGGCTTGAATTTTAACTTGACATCTGTCTGTGTAGGCATGGGGCTTGCATACTGCTTCATGTTGATGCTGCTGGTGGCAAGCGCTTTTCTTCGTCCAGAAGGAGATTCCTGAAAGCAAAGGAAGAATAAAACTAATGTAAAAGGCGCTGTTACACTGAAACCTGCCTGTGCACAACACAAAAAAAATACACTTATTAAATCCTCATCATTCTTTTTTCAAGAACACAGGCAGCAGGGATTGCTGTGGTCCTCTGTAGAGACAGAAACCTGTTTCTTACACTACGTCAGGCACTAATAGTGGGTCTTTCAGCACTTGCTTAGTGCAAGGGGAAAAAAAAAAGTTATTCATTATGGTTAGTGGTCTTCCATCTGAGATCCTAGGCCTTTAACAGCTTAAGCTTGTAGTAGCATCCAAAGCACACATCCATTTAAACAAGTGGGAATGTATCTCCATTCCTTCTGATAGCAAACTGGACTAGTTTTGTCTAATCTTGAATAGTCCTGGACTAGAACATCCAGCCTAGGGAAGACATGGATTGCAACTATCATATATTTCTTCATGTAATGGTATGAGGCCATCAAGTTAATATTTTTGAACTGCTATCTGTGTTTGATGCTCAAATATAAAGCCCAAGTGTTTTTCAAAGCAATGGTACTTCTCACTAGCGCTGTACATGTACTATCAAGAATGACAGGTTTCTGAAATTAAGGTGGACAACGCTTCAAAAAATATTGATAAAAATTTTGCAAGGAAAAAGTAAAAAGCAAGAAAATAAAAATATAAAAGTAAGTTGTATTTCAAAAGCCTAAGATGTATTTCAAGATAAGGGTATTGCTCACAGTTTAACAATTCAGACAAATTAATCTAAAATGCATCTAGGAACCTACTTTCTTGTTCCATCTAATATCAGCACCAAAGGAACGATTATATGTGATAAAGCTCCAGTAACAAAAACAAACAAAAAAAAGCCCTGGTGTTAACTCTTTTGAAAATGTTCTTACCATAAAACTACATTTTACTGCGGTTGACAATGTGTTCAATAAAGAATACTAATTCAATCAAAACATTCAAGCATCCTTTTTCAAAGTACTTGACATTTCTGCCCAGTAGAATAAGTCAGAATGTAATATGTCATCCCCAAAGAATACCTTGTTTAAAAAACTGGCCTTATCTGTCAGATTATGCACAGCAATATTATACAGAACTATTAGTGCATGTAGATACCTTATGAATGAATTTCAAAAATGCATCAAACACTTGAGAAGGATTTAGGCCCTCTCAGAAGAAATACTTAAGAATATGCAAATACTCTCAACTGAATCAAGTTGAACAGATGCGACTACCACAAACAATACGAGTGCTCTTTCCCCAGCCGCAACTGTCAATCAAAGAGCAAGATTAAGGTCCAAGGTTCTGACAATGTGTAAAATGGAAAGCATGATCAGGGAGTTTCAATTATTACATAGATATGAACAAGAATAATCTGTTATTGTACCATACCTTTACAATAACTAAACATTACAACTCATTATAGTGAAAGCAAGATATACCGTGGCACCTCTTCAGAAAGCAACGTCAGAGGCATGGCACTTCTTTTTTGCATGTTCTCCAAGTAAATGTACATAAGCAGTTTGTGTATTAACAGCAAATTCGTTCATAAAGCTAAATTTTCAATATTCATACTATGGTATAAAAACGGTAGTCAAGGTGAGCAGAAAGTTTGCATAAGCCTCTTCTAGTTATTTTTTGGTTTTAATATACCTTTAGAGAAAAATGGCATATAAAATGTGGTGTGCAAGCATTTATGCAACTGGCATGGTGAGATTGCCAATGCTAGCACATGTGTTTTTCTGCCAAACAGAAGCAACCAGAAATTAAAACGTAACTTGGAGTCACATGGAGAAGACAGGAAGGCAACGGGTGCAAGTTGCACCAGGAGGTTTCATCTCAACAGAAGACAGACAGTCTTTATGGCAAGAACAGTCACGGGGACAACCTCCCCAGGGACATGGTAGAGTCCTCATCATGGGAGGTTTACAAGCTGGAACTGGACAGGGTGCTAGGTCATCTCATCTAGGTTCCCTTTCCTATGAATGTCTGGACGAGGTGATCTTTCCATGTCCCTTCCAACCTGAGCTCTTCTATGATGGTATGATTCTAACTTGAATATGCCCCCACCTGTAGTCAGGCCAAATAAAAACATTCCAATGGTAGGCTATAATGACTAGGAAACACTTGTCACACTATGGACTTGACTCTTCTTTAAATCACTTGCGTTTGAGCTTATGCTGGCAGACTAAAAGAATTATAGCTTAGCTGGTTTTAAAAATCTGTATTACAGTATCACAGTTATTGAAACTACAGTTAGCAACATAACTCAAAATGCAGGGAAAGGCTCATTTGTTCATTATTCCCAAATTATACAATTAGTTTTTCCTTAAAAAGATGTTTCGTGTTGCCTTTCTTTTTCTTTTTAAAGAAGATGCATGTCCGTTGTCATGTCCTCACTCTCCTTCATCAACTAAAACACCCCCAAAATAATGAATTGTGTCTATACACAGTGAGAAACAGACCTTAGATGAAACATACGAACACAGGGTACTTGCTTACAGCCTTCCAGGTGAATCATTGATGAGCATTACCATGCCTATATTCTGATGTACTCTTCTCAGTTTGACTATGAAGATCACTTCCCAGCAGCTGTAAACAACCCCAATTTAACAAAACAACACCCAATTTAACAAAGACCTAGATTATTTCCTTGTGTAGCTACCAATGCCTTCTCAGTGGTGGCTCATGTGTTACATACACCCTATGCTACAAGAGCAACATACACACCTCTCACAAGGTCCCTGGGGAGGTATCTATCATAGGGAACACAAATATGCTCCAGGGTCTCTGAAAAAAAGAAGGTGTTTTTGGTGGCAAAGCTAATGTCTCTTGTTAGAAATGCACCATGTTATCAGCTAACTCAGATGCATTTTGCCTTTATAGAGGTGGTTTTACTAAAAAAGTCAAAGCAAACAAGCCAACCCAAAGGTCAGTTCGGTGGTGAATCTAAGGTGAAGAGAAAGAACAGAGCATTAAACTTGCAAGCATCTAAAAGCTGGGCATGAACATAAAGGCAGGAGAATTTTGGAATTACATGGAATTACATTTTCAGTTAATATCTATTTATCATATAAATGATCATCTTGCTGTTTGCAGCTTCAGATTATCTGGATCAGAGAGTGAATAAAAGACCTGAATCAGGAAGAGGCAAAGTTCCCCCAGTGAAGGTGTTTGTCAGCAATTCCTTGTGGTATCTTCTGGGGTTAAGGGGAGTAGAGGAGGAGGGAGACAAGAACACAGGTAGCTGCTGTGCTGGTATGAAGAGCAGAAGCCAGCCATGTGCAAGAAGATTCTCCTAGCACTAAATATTCTGAGGTGCTGTGAAGAATAAGACATACTTGGCAATCAAGCTCAGTCAACCTAAGAAAGGAATTAATTTCATAATCTTTTTGCGAGCCAAAGACAGAAGTTGACTTTTTGGGTTCCAACTGCCTATAAAAAAATCCAAATTTGTAAATTAATCATATTAAAACCACCAAAAATCAAAACAAAGACAGACAGTCCCCTGATCTTTCAAGTTCTATTTTCCTTCACATGCAAGCTTAAGTACATCCTCCTGCTCTCCCAGAAGTGTTAAAAGTGTTGCAATGTTTTCTTATTTTAAGGTTTATAGGCTTGGCCTTACATTTAGATGTAGAAAGTAGAGAGGGGAAACTTTTTAGTCCCTGTAAAGGATAGGCTCAAGGTGCCTAGGTCCATGATTGACTTCGCAGTGGAGTATGTTTCATGACACACAACCAACTTCTAAAAAATGGTTTTTAAACATCAGAAAATGCTAATAACCACTTTTCACAAGGGTGGTAATGTTTTCTTCAAAAAATTACATTCTTTGCATTATACAGTCTGAGTTACCCCAGACCACAGAGAAATTTCCTTACAGAATCATAGATAATTCTTAGATCAGCAGAGATAAAATAATCCAAGAGAAATACCTATGAGTGGGATATACAGGAGCAGCTCAGCAGTAGGCTGGAATGAGTTACTTCAAACAGAAGCACACTTTGGTAAGAATGTAAATAAATAACATCCATTTAATAATAAAAGTCTGATCTGGTGTTACTTGTGCCTTGTATGAGCACATGGAGTTTGGTGGAAGGTAAAGCAGGAATCCCAATGCAAATATTTTAATTGCTCAACTTCTCTGATTTTGACTACCTAATCAAAGTTAAAATGCATAAGGCTCAACTATGCCTCCAGGTCTTTTACCTACATGGGACTGCCAGAGTTGCCACATCATGTTTTGTGAAAGAGTGCATGGAAAAGTCAGTTTTGAAGTCACAAGAGGGAAATGATCCATCTGATAATAAGAAAGGTGACAAAATACAACACTTAACTATCAAGATGGAGTTCATTCTTTAAGAAAAGAGTAATTTGGAAACTCTCTGCTTTTCAAGAGAGGCAATGCATTAGATATCACCCGAAACCTATTCCAAAGAGAGACAAAATCAAGACAATCAGAAGGCATATAGGTGCAAGTAGTGCAGGGCCAGGCTGGGATAAGACTTCATTGCATGGGAGCACCTTGCGCTCAGCTCTGCTAAGGCCAGGTGACCTACAGCACATATGCAGACATGCACTGCAAACAGGGATTTAAATAGCTATAGATGGGTTTTCAAGGAGCAGTACCAACATATCCCTTTACAGCATTTTGTATTACTTCCACAAGTACTCAACTATGATCATATAACAAATTTTGGGGGTAGAGAATGGAAAATTAACACTGATCAAGCCACAGTCAGTTCAAATGAAGCCAATGGAGCTGCATTTACTCTAACAGCTATAGGACCAGAGTCACTTACACCACACAAATTTCTGCCTTTCAGCAAAGCAACCTGCATCATTCTCTTCCACAGCACTCATGACTGAGCAGCGTCAGACATCCCGAAAACTACTATATAGTAAGTGTCACCCTTACGTAAAGTTCTGCCTAGCCTAAAGGATGCACATAGCCCAGTCTCTACAAGGAGAATAATGTGAAGCAATGCTGTGAACCACT